CGGGTGTTGATTCGAATGAGGTCGAATGTAACCCGTACTTAGTTAATTCGAGCAAGGTCGAATGTGGGTTAATTCGAGCGAGGTTGAATGTGGGTTAATTCGAGCGAGGTCGAATGTGATTTAATTCGAACGAGGTCAAATGTGAGTTAATTCGAGCGAGGTCGAATGTGAGTTAATTCGAACGAGGTCGAATGTGAGTTAATTTGAACGAGGTTGAATGTGAATTACTTAATTATGGCCGGGGGACGAGCGGGTGTTGATTCGAACGAGGTTGAATGTAACCCGTACTTAGTTGATTCGAGAAGGGTCGAATGTCAGTTAATTCGATTGAGGTCGAATGCGTGTTAATTCGAATGATGTCGAATATGAATTACTTAATTATGACTGGGGGCCGAGTAGATATTGAGGCAATGTTGCTCTGGCGAAAACATGGGCGAACTTCATACATTTGTGTACTGCTCACATACTTGGAGAAATTTACATGTTTTTCGGGTTGGCATTCCAGTCCCAGTCTATCTAGTCCCTTCATTGGGCGACCTAGAGACGTGTTGAGAGGTTGGGCAATGAACTGACCGTCCGGTGCCCTTTTCCGTTCGTATTTCGACTTTGAAGTGTCCCACTTGTCGCCTCGTTAAAAACCTCCTTGAGAAAAACCCAATTGGGACAAAAATCAAGTGAGGGAAAAAGAGTACGACTAGGAGGACGCTTTTTCTTAAAAGTTGAAGTACTTGAGGTTGGCGACGTTCCAGTTGTTTGGTAGTAGTTTTCCTTCCATCGTTTCTAGTTGAAATGACCCTTTATTTGCTGTTGTCATGATTTTGTATGGGCCGTCCCAATTTGTTCCTTGTTTGCCTTCCCGCAGGTCTTTGCTTTCTTGTGTTTTGGCCTTGAGCACGTAGTCCCCGACTTTGAGTGGTCTGATATTGGCCTTTTTGTTATAATAGCGTTCTGCCTGCTGTGTTTTGGTGATCATCCTTATGTAGGCCATATCTCTCCGTTCTTGTGCTTCGTCGAGCTCTTGCCTTCTGCTTTCATCGTTCCTCGGCTCGCTCTCATGGGAGTATCTCAAACTGGGCTCTCCGACTGGTGTTACTGCATCGGTCCCATAGACTAATGAGAAGGGTGTCTCTCTTGTGCTCATCTTTGGCATTGTGCGGTAGGCCCAAAGCACTTCTGGTAATAGCTCCGTCCATAATCCCTTGGCATCCTCAAGCTTTTTCTTCATGAAAGCAGTATTGATTTATTGGAGGATTCCGCTTGCCCATTGCCCGCGAGGTGGTACGGTGTGGAGAGTATTCTTTTGATATGCCACTTCTCAAAGAATTCAACGAACTTTTTTCCAATAAATTGGGGTCCGTTGCCGCAACTGATCTCTCTAGGGAGGCCAAAACGGCACACAATGGTTTTCCATATGAAGGTGATCACTTCCTGTTCGTGTATCTGGGCGAATGCTCCTGCTTCTACCCATTTAGAAAAATAGTCAGTTAGAACCAAAAGAAATTGTACGTTACCTCGCCCCGCAGGGAGGGGGCCGACGATGTCCATTCTCCACTTGATGAAAGTCTAAGGGGAAGTGACCGAGCGGAGGTGCTCGCACGCTTGATTTTCACGAAGTCTGCGGCGTCGTTTTTCATAGTAAGCCAATAGTAACCTGTCCGTGTGAGACATCTGACTAGAGCTCGATTGCTGGAATGAGCCCCACAGTGGCCTTCGTGGACTTCTTTTAGGACGCGCCACGTTTGATTCGGACCTAAGCATTTCTCTAGGGGGCCGCATACGTCCTCTTGTATAGGTCGTTGTGAATGATGTTGTACCTGGCCGCTTGCATCCAAAGCTTCTTGGCTTCCTTTTTATCATCTGGGAGTACGCCATCCTTCAAGTGTGTAACAATACGGTTGCGCCAGTCCCAAGTTAGATTTATAATCCTTACCTCGATTTGATCTATCGATGAGTGGAGGAGGGTGACCACGTTCCCTTCTCCAGTTATTCTTTTAGTGGCTTCCGCTAATTTGGCAAGGCCGTCTGCTTCAATGTTTTGTGCTCGAGGGATTTGGTCGAGCTAGCATTCATCAAATCCGGGCAGTAGTTTGCAGATCTCGACCTGCTATTTTTTTCAACCTTTGCTCCTTGATCTGGAAAGTCCTTGTGACTTGGTTGACGACAAGTTGCGAGTCGCAGCGTAGGATGACCCGTCTCGCCCCGTACTTTAGTGCTAGCCTTAATCCTGCAATTACAGCCTCATACTCGGCCTCGTTATTAGTTATGTTAGGGCACCTTATGGATTGGAGAATCACTTCACCTGTCGGGACTTCGAGCACAAGTCCCAGTCCGGACCTTGACACATTAGAAGCACCGTCGGTGTACAAAATCCATAGATCTTGTGTTTGTGGAGAAGCGTGGGCGGCTTCTTTTTTGACTCCGGGCATTATTTTTGCGTTAAAGTCGGTGACGAAGTCATCAAGGACTTGTGACTTTATCACCGTCCGCGGTTGATATGTAATATCATGTTCACTTAATTCTATGGCCCACTTGGCTAACTTGCCTGATACTCGGGCTAATGCAAAATACGTCTCAAGGGGAAAGTTGTGACTACCAAGATGGGGTGGCACTGAAAGTAGGGTCTAAGCTTTCATGAAGCTACGACCAAGGCCAGGGCCAATTTTTCGAGGTAGGGGTACCTCGTCTCGGAGTTGATTAAGGTTTTGCTAATGTAATAGATGGAAGATTGCGTACCTTTATCTTCTCAGACCAGGACTGCACTCACCGCTACTTAAGATACGATGAGGTAGATGAGAAGGCGTTCCCCTGGTTCTGCTTTGGAAAGCAATGACGGTGACGACAGATAGGTATTTAACTCCTTCAGGGCTTGAACGCACTCGAAAGTCCACTAGAGGCCGTTGTCTTTCTTGAGTACGCCAAAAAACTTATGGAATCTGTCCGATGATCGCGAGATGAATCTCGATAGGGCGGCGATACGGGCGGTCAGCCTCTGAACCTATTTTTTGTTGGTTAAGTGCTCTGGTGTTCCTTCTATGGCTTCGATTTGGTCGGGGTTGACCTCGATACCTCTTTGTGATACTAGGAAGCCCAAGAAGTTTCCTGAGCTCACGCCGAATGCATACTTTTTAGGATTTAGCTTCATTCCGTACCGCCTGGGTATATCGAAGGATTCCTTTAGGTGGTTGATGTGATCTTCTTTCCTTTTGTACTTGACCAACATATCGTCTATGTAGACTTCCATGGTCTTGCCGAGTTGGTTTTTGAACATTTTGGTCACCAACCTTTGGTATGTCGCCCCGCATTTTTCAGTCCGAAAGGCATCACTCCATAGCAGTACGTTCTTTAGTGGGTGATGAAGGTGGTCTTCTCCTGGTCCTCCTCTTCCATGAGGATCTGATTGTAGCCCGAGTAGGCATCCAAGAAGCTCAGCAGTTCATGCCCGGCCGTTGCGTCAATGAGCTGGTCGATATGAGGTAGCAGGAATGAATCTTTGGGGCATGCTTTGTTTAAATCTGTAAAGTCTACACACATCCGCCACTTTCCGTTCTTCATTTTCACTATGACCATATTGGAGACCCATTGGGGGTATTTTGATTCCCTGATGGAGCCATTTTCCAGCAATCTTTTGACCTCCTCACGGACTGCATCGTTTATTGTAGAATTGAACTTTCACCTAACTTGCCTTACCGGGGGGTAGAACGGGTCGATGTTCAACTTGCGTATGGTGACCTCCTTCGGGATACCTGGCATGTCTGCATGGGAAAAAGCAAACAAGTCTGCGTTAGCAGTTAAGAATTGATAGAATTTACTTGGTTCTTGAAGCTTGTAGCTGGCGTAGGCTTTCTTGCTGTGGTCGTTATTATCAAGTTGGACGGGGTCTAAACCTTCTACGGTTGATCCTGTGGCCTCTATTGTTTCGGGATCTCTGATGACGCCCGTTGTTTTATCACAGCTCGACCTCGACCCTGTTAATTGCTATACATCTTTTGCTTTGTCCTTCATTTGTTGGGTATATATACAATCCTGGGCGATGCGGTAGCATTCTCGAGATGTGTGTTGTTCTCCTCGTATGCTGAATACTCCCCATGGGGTTGGAAATTTGATAACTTGGTACAAGTTGGAGGGGATGGACCTCATAGCGTGTATCCAGGATCAACCTATAATGGCGTTGTACGTCGTATCCTGGTCCATGATGTGGAATGTGGTTTCCAGAGTGATGCCGCCGGCCAGGATGGGGAGTGTGATTTCTTTGGACGTTCGTTCAACTGTATTGTTAAAACCCATAAGCATGATGCAGTGCGACACTATCTTATCCTCGAGTTTCATTTGTGCAAGTACTCGAGGGTTGATAATGCACTTGCCGCTTCCACCATCCACCATAATGCGTCTTACATCTGTATCTAAAATTCTTAAAGTGATAACAAGGGCATCTTAGTAAGGGAAAATCAAACCGTGGGTATCTGACTTATCGAAGATGATACTTTTTTCGAGCTCGTCATACCGTTCATGAGTGATCGACCGTTTGAGCTTGTGGGTTGTGGTGAATTTTACGCTGTTGATCGAGGCGCCGTCGCTGCCTTCGATGATCATTTCAATGGTGCGAGTCAGTGAGTGTGGTTTTGGCGGTCCCTAGTGTTGTTCACGTCCTCAGGTGAAGTTGGTCCTTCCTCGGTCGCTCAACAATTCATTGAGGTATCCTTGGTGAAGCATGTTCACGACCTCCTGCCTTAGAGCGATGCAATCCTCAGCTTTGTGTCCTCGCTCTTGGTGGAACTCGCAGAGGGCGTATGACTTTCTGGTGCTTGGGTATGACCTCATCTTTTGTGGCCACTTCACTTTTGGTCCGAGCTTCTCCAATGCATAGACTATTTCTGAGGGTGATACACAAAAATTATGAGCGGATAATAAATGGGGCATACCTCTCTCGTTTCGGTGAGTCCCTGTCCTTGGCCTAGATGGGCCCTCTTCGTTGCGGATGGGGTCATGATGGCACTTCTGATTTATGGCCGATGCCTTTCTCTGTTGGGTCGTGGAGCTGCAATATCCCTCCTGGCATCATTTCTTCGATCCTTTTTGGATTCGGCATGTACCGAGGTCAACCACTGGGTTGGCCCATTCAGGTCGTCTTCGTTAGCACGAACATCGGCGCAGTAGGCATTGTGTATTTCATCCCAAGTGGTTGGAGGATATTTCATAAGCTGATTTAATAACTTTCTGGTTGCCCTTGATCCATTCCTGTTTAGCCCGTTTTGGAAAGCTGCTAAAACCATGCCTTCCGATACATTTGGTAAGGTCATCCTAACTCGGTTGAATCGAGCGAGGAATTCCCCCAGTCCCTCTCCGAGTGATTGTTTGATGGTAAATATATCGTTCACTCTTGCTTCTGCCTTTTTAGCCCCAGCATGGGCTGATACGAACTTGCTGGCCATCTCTTCGAATGTTTCAATGGAGCACGCGAGCAGCTGTGAATACCAAGTTAATGCTCCTCCGGTGAGGGTCTCGCCGAAATTTTTCAACAAGATGTAGGACACTTGTTCTTTGGCGAGATCATTGCCCTTTACCGCAGTGACACAATGAGTCATATGATCTTCGGGGTCGGTCGTACCGTCATATATTATCAGATAAGGCGGCATCTTGAAGGTCTTGGGTATGGCATGTGGGGCGGCTTCATCACTGTAGGGTTGCTCAACGAACCGACCAGCATCTCTTTTTGGCAAGAGTTTTGGGGCACCCAGTATTTTGTCGACTCTTTCTTGGTGCTCTCTCATTTGGTCCCGAAGCATTTTGTTTTCATTTTCCATTTCTTCCAGGTTCCTCAGAATGGCCGTGAGGGTGTCGTTACCAGCATTATTAACATTGTGAGTGATACATGTTACTGGAGGGAAAGGGTCGTGCTGCTCGGCCGTTGTTGGTGTAATGCAAGTCTGCATTTTCTCTAACTGCCTCCTGAGCGAGCTTGTCGAGGATGCTGGTCAGCGTGTTTGTCAGCCAAGTCTCAAGTAGTTTTTTCACTGCTGGTGACGCCTCTTCCGTTGTGGACGTGGAAGCTCCTTTACTGTGGGATGTTGTAATGCTGCCGTGAGGGAGGGGCGACCCACTCTGCCTGGGAGAGGCGTTAGGCGTTATATCTTCGCCTTCTATTTCAGAGACCTCATTTAAGGGTGGCATGTGGGCCGGATAGGACCGGGACCGGCCCAAGACCGCAAGGCCACATAGGCGGTGGGCCTAAACGGTCCTAACCGGATAGGACCGGGACCGTGGGGTGGTGGGCCGGGTAGTGNTTTTATAATTATACTTTTTCCCTATTTTCAACTATAAATACCCCCTCATTCTTTTATTTTTCTCAATAAATCATCAATATCTCTCTAATATTCTTCTATAATTGCTTACTTAATTGTTACAATTTGTGCAAAATTGTGAAGTTGGTGAATTGAAGTCTTCAACGATAATTATTTTTCAACAAGTTGTTCGTCAATTTGGTAAACTCGTTCTAACTCTTAAGTTTTAATATTATAGTTTTGTTTGTTTTATTTACTTTGCTTGATTAATTAAGATGGCTTATTCCCTAAAAAATGTTTAGTAAAAATAAGGAAAAATCCAAGAGTGGTGAATCTAGTGGCCAGTCTGTTCCTCCTCCACTTCCCTAGGCTCCCCGGCCGAAACCTGTTACCCGTCCTACACCTCCTATTCTTGATAGCGATAATAGTTT